CTAAAGTTGACGGAACGGGGGCGTAATCATTAAAATCTATTGAAATCAGATGAGTTGGTTATAATGTAACTAAACTGTAGACATTTTTGTAAAATCGAAACTAGTGTAATTTTAAAAATAAAAAAAAAATGTATATATATATATATATATATATATATATATAATCCCAGCATTCTGTGACTATAAATAGGATAAGGGGGCCGTTCAGGAGAAGAATTTGAGAAAGGATGAGAGCAAAAGGAAGAAAACGTGAGGATAGAAGAAAGAAAAAATTGAGTAAAAAAATTAGAGTAGGAGCACAAGAGAGAAAAGTGAAAAAGAATTCCTTTTACCTGTTTCGAATTTTTTATTTCTTATATGGTTATATTTAATTTATGTTTGTCTATATTTAATTAATAAAATGTTCTTAATCTCATTTTACTTACTTAATTTTTGATATTTTTAACTCTAAATAACTAATGAGGTGTTCCTAATTTATGTTGTTTGTAATGTAGTAAGTTATTTCAGAAGGTCCAAAAACTCAATATAGGTGATTTAGTAGCCCAAAACGAGCCGTTCCCAAACTGGAACGGGCCGTTCCAAATTACTAAATTGACCTGTAAATCGTATTTGAGAACAAGTCGTTCCAAACCCCAGAACGGGCCGTTCTGGATGGAGTACGGGCCGTTTTGGATGGAGAACGAGTCATTCTGGATGAGTCCCAGAACGGGCTGTTCTGGTTTCAGAACAGGTCGTTCTGCATGTGATTTTTGCACATGATGAAGGGGTGCAGAATAGGCCATTCCGGATTCGAAACGGGTCGTTGTGGCCACTCCTGAACTTCTATAAATAGGGATTGTGTGGTTGAGGAGAAAGTGAAGTTTTTTAGAGAGAAGTTTTAGAGAGAATGACTCTGGGTCTCTGAGCTCCTTTCTCTCCCAAATTTCTCTGTATGATTCTTTTTCTCCTCTAGATCACTATTGTCTTCTGTCTTTTCTTGAAATTTAGACTAGAAAGCTTGCTTTGGGTGGATTGAAGTTCCAGGTTGAGCTTTGGAAGGAAATTCTACTTCTCCTCAGTTCTTGGTCATTTTGAGCCAATTTTCAGGTAAGGAAAGATAGAATGTTTGTTGTTTAGGTTGCATGTGAGTTTAGAAACTCAATTGATGCATGAGAGTTGAGGATCCATGGTTGGATCGGAGAATTCGCTCATTTTTTTGGGATTTTGGGAAAAATGGGGTTTTTGGTGATTTTGATGCATCGGATGGGTGCATGT